AATTTCCTTAGAAGCCCTGCTGCCCTCTCCCAGGGCTCTCTCCTCAGTGGACTAATAGCAGCTCCATTCATCCAGCCTTGTCTATAGCCAGCTTTCCAGCCTTCCTCCTCCAGGCCCCTTCCAGGTCTTGCTGAGTGAACCTCCTGGGTGAATCAGTCTGTTGCTGTCCATTTGTCCTATTCCACACCACCATCATCACCACCCCACCACCACCACCATCATCTTCATTCTACCAGCACCACCATCACCACTATAATCATCACCATCATTATCATCACTTACTTGCTAGGACTCCTGCAGTAACCTCCCAGCTCTTCTCCCTCCTTCCCCTCTGCTGTTTGCCTATCTGCTGCCTTAGTTACTCTGCAAAGGTTTCCTGAATGATACCCTGTAGTGACAGTCCTGAGCGTGCCCCCAGAGTTCTCACATCCGGCTGGTACTTGCTCTACAACCTCCACTTGTCCTAACCATTGGCCCACCCTCTGCTCCAGCAATTTGCGCATCTCTGTGCCACCTCAGGGCCTTTGCACCTGCTCTTGCCTCAACCTGAGGAGCTCTCTCCTCTCCCTCTGTGGCTTGTTGATTCCCGCCCCCGCTCTAGAACTCGGCTCAGAGGACAGCTGTCTCAGACCCTCTGGGCCATCCTGACGCACCTGCCTGTGACTGGTGACTGTCAGCTTGTGGAGCCGGCTCCGTGTCTCCTGTCACAGCACAGGGCCTTGTGGACAGGGGCTTAGAAATGCTTTGTGCCCGGATCAGTGACAGTGATCTTGGGCAAAATACTTGACTCCACGTAAACTGTCCTTCTTTGTAAAACTAGACCACTGAAGTCTGCTTCACAGGTTTGATGGGGCCTTGATGGAGCAGGGGATCTAGTGTGTTGGGCGGGGGGCTGCACTTGGCGGCTTTTTGTACTCACACCCCCTTTCCCATCTGAGGCTGTGCTCTGGCCTCCCCAGCACCCGCTCCACGACCTCTGGGGGCAGCAGGCACAGCTGAATGAGATGACTTGGGGCCATGCCCCTGGAAGCCTTGTCCACCCCCTCCCTTTAGGATAATCCCTTCCAGGTAGCATGGCCGGGTGCTCCAAGACATGGCTCTGGGCACCTCCCACCCCTCCCCTGTTCAGAGAAGCCACTGGGGTCCCTAGCGGGTGTTTCACATGAAGGCTCCCTCCAGTAGGGAGCACACGGGCACCTGTTCTCATATCCAGGCTGGGCAGCAATATTCTGATACGCGTGTGTACGTGTACGTGTGCGTCATGCAAAGGGAGTTAGTGGAGAAATTCCCTCTGGGGACACAGATTCTGTCTGGTCCTGTGTTGTTCTGTCTCCCTCTAGTGGGCTCAGCTTCGGGTTCGTTCAGGAGTTGAACAAAATAAGGACAGTTTATATTCAAACACACAGGGCCAGCTGCTTCAGCCTTAGAATGAAGCTGGTTAATCCTTGCTCCTGTGTTTGGTGATTGGAGTTGAGAGCTGTGTCTGTGAAGCTGAAATACCGCCCCTCCTACTGGCCACTCCTTGGTGCTTCCTAATGCGTGTGGGGCTGAGTGGGTGTCTGAATGGCGGGCAGGTGTGGGAGGCACTGTTGTGTGTAGTGTTTCCTATTTGAAGAAAGACCAAGGCAGGAGTGACATGACCGCCCGCCCCCCCCTCCCCAAGGAAGGGGACTATCTGCTGGCCTTATAACAAAGGCCCTAGTCCTTCACTGGCCTTTTCCCGGGGAGCAGGTGTCCATGGATGTGGCTGGTGGACCCCACAGCCTGGTATGGGATGCCTTCACATCAGAAGTCTGTGCCCCCTGATGGGACCCAGATCTGGTGGGCACCCAGATGGGGCAAGTCTTTAGTAAGGCTACTCTGGGGTGTGGGGTGAAACAGAAAAGGTCCGGGAGCTGACCACCCTGGGGAACTGGCAAGTGGAGCATTAAAGACAGAGACTTCAGGTCTATCTCCATCCCCAGGGATGGTTGGGCACAGAGTATCATGTGATCCCCCCACCCACCCCACACTTACTGAGGACCAGACCCTGAGCACTCTCTGGGGGTGTTGGGCAAGCATGACCCCAGGGCTCCTGGGACCACCTGGACTTTCCCTGAGAACAGAGTGACACCATCTACTAGTCAGCATGGGCTTCCCTGATAGCTCAGTTGGTAAAGAATCTGCCTGTAATGTGGGAGACCTGGGTTCGATCCCTGGGTTGGGAAGATCCCCCAGAGAAGGGAAGGGCTACACACTCCAGTATTCTGGCTTGGAGAATTCCATGGATTGTATAGTCCATGGGGTTGCAAAGAGTCCGACGCGACTGAGCAACTTTCACTTTCACTTTTCAATGGTCACTGCAGGGAGTGTGAGTGACTTGGGAGGGGTCACTAGCTTCCCTGATAGCTCAGTTGGTAAAGAACCCGCCTGCAATGCAGGAGACCCTGGTTCGATTCCTGTGTCAGCAAGACCCGCTGGAGAAGGGATAGGCTACCTACTCCAGTATTCTTGGGCTTCCCTTGTGGCTCAGGTGGTAAAGAATCTGCCTGCAATGCAGGAGACCTGGGTTTGATCCCTGGGTTGGGAAGATCCCCTGGAGAAGAGAACGGCTATCCACTCTAGTATTCTGGCCTAGAGAATTCCATGGATTGTATAGTCCATGGGGTCACAAAGAGTCGGATACAACTGAGTGACTTTCACTTCACTCATAAGATGGACCCTGGGGACCATGCTCACTGGGGCACAGGAGGCATGAGGTGGTAAAAATGGAAGTGCCCCAGTCAGGAGCACTGAGGGTCCAGGCAGAGGCTACTATTAATGCCTGAGCTGGATGCCCTGTTCCCTCTGTTGGAAGTGACTTCTGCCTCTGCCTGGGTCATGACAAGCCTGATGTGCCTGTGTGTAGACCAGGTGGCTGATAGATGGACACGGAAGAGTCCTCCCCACCCCCCAGTGCCTCCCCCCTCTCATTACCCCTGCCCTGGAGCCCCCAGCCCTGCCCAGCTGGGAGAAGGTTGTTCATCTGCAGAGCAAGGACCATAGTGCCTGATGGATGGACAAGGAGGGGTCCTCTCCCAGTGCTTTCCCCTCCCATCACCCCGCCCTCTCCCATCACCCCTCCCCCATCTCCCCATCCCTCTGCCATCACACCCTTCCACCACCCCTCCCCCTCCCATCACCCCTCCCCTGGAACCCCCAGTCCTGCCCAACTGGGAGAAGGTTGTTCAACTTCAGAGCAGAGCCCAAGGGAGATGGAATAAGCAGCCTGACTTGACCCCTGGTTGTGGAGCCACTCTCAGAGGGTCTGGTTGAGGCTTCCACACAGGCAATCAGAGCTTCCTGGAGGAAGCCACGGGGGCCCCTAGGTGCATCTTCTGGGGGCTGTTGAGGGGAGGATGTCAGGGTCAGTGGGAGAAAGGGGGTCCCTGGTGTGTCATGATGCCGGGGCCCCCAGTTCTATGCCATCAGGACGGAAACTGACCTGGGGCATTCTGAGTCAGGACCTAATAATATTGCTGGTATGCATGCTAATGTTGCATACAGTTGCATACAGTTGCTTCAGTCATGTCCAACTCTTTGCAACCCATGGACTGTAGCCTGCCAGGTTCTTCTGTCCATGGGATGCTCCAGGCAAGAATATTGGAATGGGTTGCCATGCCCTCCTCTAGGGGATCTTCCTAACCCAGGGATCGAACCCACATCTCTGGTACCTCCTGCATTGGCAGGGAGGTTCTTTACCTCTAGTGTCACCCAGAAAACCCCCTATTAACATTAAGTTCCTGTTAGACTTCAGAACCCTCACCTTGTTCTGAAGTGCATCGTAGAATCAGCCTTATTGCAGGAGATGCTGCTCTGGTGTGAAGAGACAGTTATCCCTTTTTCATCCGTGGTTTCCCAGTGTGTGTGTCTGCTGGGTGAGCCTAGATATGGGTCCTCAGGCCAGTGGGCACTCACTGTGACCAGTTTTGGAGCTTTGATCTCAAGCCCATGGAGCTGGTTTGTTGGAGTGAGAGTGAAGCTTACAGGTTTCCTCCAGGCATCCCAGACACGCATGCAGGCCCTTCTCCTGAGGTTTAAAGAGAGCAAACGTGGCAGAGAGTGAGTGTGGAGACCTGCCCTGAGTCCAGTGTCGACCTGAGGTCGGGTCAGTGAAGTGGCACCTTCGTCTCGGGTGACAACCTGCTCAGTGCTCCCCCCCTCAGTCCACAGCCCCCAGGTATCTGGGGTGGAGATACTGGCAGAAGCTGGAACCCCTCCAGGAGTGGCCTGTCCAGGATGCAAGCCACAGCTTCCTGCAGCTGTTGACATGTCAGTTACTTAGGATTGCATATAGATTTTAAAATTCAGTTCTTCTGTCACACTAGCCAACATGTTCAAGTTCTCAAAAGCCAGGTGAGGCCACCAGTTCCCACATTAAACGGCTCAGAGATGGAATATTCCAGATCTTGCTGTCGATAGCTCTGGTCTTGAGGCAGCCGGTGGAACAGAGACCATGTCACCCAGTCTGGACTGGAGCACGTGGAGGAGGAGGAGCCAGACTGGCTTGTGAGGGGCTGCAGGCTTGCGGGAGCCCTAGGGCACACAACTGGAGCCTGGTGGGCATTCCCATCACTGAAACCTGGTGGACTGTCTGGAGTCCCAGGGCTCTGGGGCTGATCAGGAGATGTTTGGGAAAGGTTGCCCTGGGGTTGTAGCACACCACTATCCCCTTGGAGGCCTGAGTGTCTGAGGTACAGCTGCCTGGCCCGGCGTTGTCCTTCTGGGGCGTACAGGGTTTCCTGGCTGGGATGTAGTTACTTGCTCTGTGTGCTGTGGGGTGATGGGGGCAGGACTCCCACCCTCTCACCCCTTGGAGGCCCCTGGCCCTGCTGCCTTGCTCCTGTGTGATCTTAGAAGCTGACAACTGTCCCCCCTCAGTTCCCTGTGATGGGGGCAGGACTCCTGCCCCCCCCAAAGGCCCCTGGCCCTGCTGCCTTGCCCCTGCGTCCTCTCAGAAGTTGACAGCTGTCCCCACTCAGTTCCAGGGCCCTGTGAGCCAGAAGACCTCATCGATGGGATCATCTTTGCAGCCAACTACCTGGGCTCCACGCAGCTGCTTTCGGAGCGGAACCCATCCAAAAACATCAGAATGATGCAGGCCCAGGAGGCTGTCAGCCGGGTCAAGGTATGGGAGGCCCGGGACAGCTGGCTTCCCTGCAGGGAGCACTGGAGGGGGCAGGCGACATGGGCCTCTATCCCGCTGTGACCCACCCGCCAGCCCTGGGTGCAAGAGCGGGAGCGTCTGAGGTGGGGCCAAGAGAGATGGGGGCTGGGGGCACAGAGGCTCCTTAATGAGGACCTGCCACTGGGCCCCCTGGACACGCGATTTGTAAAATGTGATTGTTCCGAAGTGTTCCAGTCATGTGTGCGTGGAGCCTCTAGTTCCTTTTTGAGTCTGTGTATCTATAGTGCCAGAGTCCTTGCAGAAAGGGGAACAAACGAACAAAATCGTATGTTTTATTTAAATTTATGACCTCAAGAAAAGCTCTGATGTACCTGCAGCTCTGGGTGGCTGTCAACTGGATCACCTGGGTTTGAAGTGTGGATGTGGCCAGGCTCGGGGGCAGGAGGGCAGGACCTCGTCAACAAAGATAACAGGGTCAGGAGAGAGGAGGGGTGCTCTGAGGACGTGCCCCTCTGGGCAGTCGGGGGTCTGTGGACATCTGTGCCCCTGCAGCCCACCCCCCATCCTGGTCATGCTCTTCAACTGAGGGTAAGGGGCTCCAGACGTGAGCCCCCTGTGCTGGTCAGGAGCGGACAGAGCAACCTAGCTTCCTTTCACTTTGCGCCCACCTGTTTTTCTCTCTCTTTCATGCTGCTCAGAGGATGCAAAAGGCTGCCAAAATCAAGAAGAAAGCGGTGTGTAGGATGTGGGGTTTGCGTGTGTGTCTATGGCTTGTCCTGTGCACTGGGAGGGGGCGGGGAGGGCCCTAGGAGCAGAAATGATGTGGCAAACCCATTTTCTATTCTCTTGGTAGGTCAGTGCTAGACGTTTGAATGAAAAACCACCCACTCACAGAAGCATTTAATTGTTGCCCTTTTTCATTTTCCTTTTTCGAGTCTCCGTGAGCTAGAGCATGGTCACTGCCATGTGTGATGTGGCCGGTTTGTGTAGACATTGTAAAGTATGGCTCTGATGTGACCGTGTGATGCGTTCAGTGCCTAGGCCCCCTGTACAGAGTTAATTAAATCACCCTGATATTTAAAGACTCATTAAGTTTAATTTACTGAATCGGGATGAAGAGAAGTGCTGTCTGCCCAGGGGACCCTTTCTCTATGGAGAAAGTTTCTGGAGCGTGGGCAGGCTTTTAAAAATCTCGGGTCGACCTTCAGTTCTTTGTTCAGCAGTCTGGTCGGTTAGTAAATGCTGGGTGTGTTCTAACCATCCTCCCACTTCAGGAAGTGTCCCATGCTCAGTGTCCAAGGGGCTGGCTGGGCACTGGCTCTGCCTGGGCATCAGGAGAGTCAGTCCCCTGTGCCCGCCTGGACATCACATTCTGGTGACATGGCCAAGGACCCTGCCATGGGCTTCCTCCCACTGCAGTGAGACATTGTCCCTCCCGCCCCATGATGCCTGCTGTCTGCCCAGTGGCCCCTCCTTGGGTTCACTGCAGGAAAGGCAGGACCTCACACAAACCCCTCTGCTGCAGCCACCTTTGTGCTGGGTGCTCCCTGGGCACAGCAGAGCAGGCCTGGCCTTGAAGACCTGCAGTGGGATGTGCTTCCCCAGAGGAGATGCCCACCCCCCGCCCCGGGCAGCTGGAGTAGGATGGTCAGTGTGGACCCCAGCCTTCTCTTTGGGTCCAGAGAACCCAGAGGGGTTGTTCATAGGCACAGCAGACCTCAGTGGTCAGTCAAGGCCAGTGATGACCTCCATGAAGGATTGTTCTTTCTCTCAGCCAGGAAGATGCTCAGGGTCATTGCCAAGGGCCCCTACACTGGTCTTCCTGCAGCTGGCCAGGCCAACAATGATGGGAAGGCCCCCGTAAGGAAGCAGGGTAACTGGCAGAGAGTGCTCACCCCAGGGGCTTGCCAGTGCAATCGCCATGCACAGGAGTAGTTAAGAATCCCCAGTGACCGGCTGTCTTGGTTCGGCCAACCCCTGAGCATGCACTCAGCTTCCAGAACATTCCTTTACACATCACTAGCGGCCATACAATGGGCATACCCAGGAGAGGATGGGCATTTCTGGGGCGGCTTCTCCAGTGTCCTGTGAGGGCAGCGCCTGGTGCAGTAGAGATCTTGCCCCCGTACAGTTTTTGGAAGATGGCGGGGGAGGGCGGGGAAGTTGACACAGGCATTGACATGACTGTGCCTTTAAACCAGAAGAAAATGCAGATATGCTGATCCACCAGTGTGGAAACCCCCCCCCCCCCGCCAACCCATCCGCCACTTTTCTGGCAATACTTGTAATCCAGAATCCAAGAAATGTAGCCCTGGTACCAGACTTGGTGTTTCTGCTGTGTTCCAGAGGTTGGGCAGGCAGGCTTGCTTCTCCTGGAGTTGGGGGCTGTGCTCTGGATGCTGCAGCACAGCTCTCTGGCGTCTGGCCCCCTCCTGTTCAGCCTCCTGGAAGCAGTCCTCCCGCCATCCTGTGCAAACCGCCCCAAGAGCTCACTTAGCGGAGATGGGCTCGGAAGCCCGCATTTAGACTCCCATGGCTGCTTCTGCCGATGAGCTTCTCCCTCTAGGGGCGCTCGGGGTCCTGCATGAGATTGTCAGGCCTTTGTCTGAGTTAGTTTTTTTTCTAAGGTTTATAACAGTCTCTACCATCCTTTCTTAGAATTCTGAGGGAGATGCCCAGACGCTGACGGAAGTGGATCTCTTCATCTCCACCCAGAGGATCAAGGTGTTAAATGCGGATACACAGGTGAGCCTGGGGAGATGAAGGGCTTTAAAATCGTGCTCAGGAACTCCCAGGAGAGCCAGGTTGAGCTGCAGACCCCCTCTGCAGGGCTGAGACCTCGTCCCCGGGACAGTCCCCTAGCCCCTGCCATGGAATATAGAGTGAGCTCTGCGGGGTGGGCAGCAGCCTCGGGCAGGCGGGTGAGGCTGGTGATCAGGTGTAGCAGCAGCGGGCATGAAATAGAGACATGATGAAGAGGAGCCGGGGGTGGGGGAGCAGGAGTCCTGTGCTCACCCTCGGGGTTCCCAATGGCCCTCTTGAGGACTCTGTGCACCAGGCTGGGAGATGGAGCTGGACGGCGGAGACCCTGGCCACCCTGGTTCCCCAGGGTGGCGGTGCTCCAGCGAGGAGGGTCCTGAGATCTCCTGCCTGTGAACCATGTGCCCAGCTCGTGTCTGACTCAATTCTGCTCGTCTTCCTGTGCCTGGGTCTTTGCGTGAGCCTGCTGTTGTGGGAACAGGAAAGCCAGATGGAGGGGGCCAGGAGCTGGGGGAGCTGGGCCACGGGTGGATGAGCTTTGCTGAGCCTAAGGGAAGGAGAGAGAGAGAGTGGCAGCTGTGGACAGACGTGGAGGGCCCGGCTCACTCGGAACGAGCGGGAAAGGCCGGCCAGATGCCAGGGTGACGGCCCCCTGCTTCTTGCCCTTGGCAAGTGGTCCGGGTGGTGACACCAGGTGTGTGGGCAGCCAGTTCCCTAGCTCCCTCTGGCCAGTGGTGTCAGATCCAGTGACGACCTTGTCGGACTCGGTTACAATGTCGGAAACACAAACTAGTTATTTTCTCACTCTGTTCTGAATTTTGCTATCTAGTGTGCTCTGTGTATAAGAGCTTCCTTTTTCTTTTCCCCTCTTTTCTTCCTTCTCACTGTGGACTTCTGAATTTTTCTTAAACTTGTGTTATAACTGCCCTCCCCCATGGGCTTTCCTGGTGCCTCTGATGATAAAGAATCTGCCTGCAATGTGGGAGACCCAGCCTCTATCCCTGGGTTGGGAAGATCCCATGGAGAAGGAAATGGCAACTCTCTCCCGTATTCTTGTCTGGATAATCCCATGGACAGAGGAGCCTGGGGGCTATAGTCCATGGGGTTCACAAAGTGTCGAACACAACTTAGTGTCTAACACTTTCACCTCACATAACCCTACCATTATTGTTCTCTTGGGTGCTTGCCTGCGCCATCCTGGAACCCTGCCCTCGGTCTTGGATGGCATTCCTGAGGCACTGAGATGTTCTCAGGCCTCCTTTCGCTCCCACTTCAGGCCTGGAACCAGCCACTCTCCAAGGAACCTTGGTTCATATCCCTGGGGAGTGACATACAGAAACAAGACCTGGGTGCTGGCTGAGCCTGTCTATGCTGAGAGGCCATTGATCCTGGGCCCTGGAAATGAACTGAGCTGGAAAATACTCTTTTTAAAAACCAGGAGTTTATACATGTGCCTCGTGTTGGAGACCAGCTCCACAGGGTCCTGCTCACTGGCTCCCGATTCTGCACACAGCCTCAGTCCACAGTGTGGATCACAGCTCCCGACACCCTCAGTGTGCTGCCTCCCTTGTTCTCTCCTAGCGTGGACCATGTCCGTGCTGGGAAGCTGAGAGGGGTGTAGGATGGCTCTTACACAGTGGATGAGCTGGTTTAAGTTAAACTTCTCAAGGCCCAGTGGGTGGGACAACCTGATGGATGTCTGGGGACAGAAACCGCAGCAGCATGTGAGTCTTGGAGCAGGAGTGACACCGTGATGTGGCTCTTGCTGATTGATTGTGGAGGCCCTTCCTCCTCATGGGTCTGTCCCCGGGTAGTCAGACATGGGCCTTGTCCCTCTGATCTTTGAGTCCAGGTTACCCCAAGGGGCCTTCCACCTGGCGAGAACTCAGGGAGCGAGTTGGCAAGAACTCAACTAGAAAGCATCAATTCTTTGGCGCTCAGTCTTCTTTAGTGTCCAACTCTCACATCCTTACATGACTACTGGAAAAATCTTACCTTTGACTAGATGAACCTTTGTCAGCAAAGTGATATCTCTGCTTTTTAATACACTGTCCAGGTTTGTCATGGGCTCCCCAGGTGGCCCTAGTAGTAAAGAACCTGCCTGACAATGCAGAAGACATAGGAGACTCGGGTTTGATTTCTGGGTCAGAAAGATCTATTGAAGGAGGGTGTGGTAACCCACTCCAGTGTTCTTGCCTGGAGAAACCTATGGACTGAGGGGCCTGGCGGGGTACAGTCCACAGGGTCACAAAGAGTCAGACACAACTGAAGAGACTTAGCAGCAGCTAGATTTGTCATAGCTTTTCTTCCAAGGAGCAAGTGTCTTATTGTGGTGCTGGAGAAGACTCTTGAGAGTCCGTCCGTTGGACTGCAAGGAGATCAAACCAGTCAATGGTAATCAACCCTGAATATTCATTGGAAGGACTGAAACCGAAGCTGAAGCTCCAATCCTTTGGCCACCTGGTGTGAAGAGCTGACTCATTGGAAAAGCCCCTGATGTTGGGAAAGATTGAGGGCAGGAGGAGAAGGGGACAACAGAGGATGAGATGTTTAGATAGCATCATGACTCAATGGACATGAGTTTGAGCAAACTCTGGGAGATGGTGAAGGACAGAGGAACCTGGCATGCTGCAGTCCATGGGGTTGCAAAGAGTCAGACATGACTTAGCAACTAAACAACAACAGGGAGCTACCTGAGTGGGTCAGGTGTAGGACACTTCACCGCTTTGGACTTTGTTTCCTGATGTTTCGTGGGCAAACGGGCTGGGCTAGCTCCTCCTTCTGGCCCCATCCCTCATCCACCCACCTGTCAGAGCCGTCAAGACCACCGCAGGGTCCATAAATTGATAAGAGGCCTCCCAGGATTCGGCATATTGTTACACTCAAGCCTGAGATTCACTGAGCACCAGGGCACAGAGCAGAGCCAGCAGAGGAGAATGCCTGGGGCTGAGCCCAGGGAAACCCTGAGTCCTTCTCAGTGGGGTCACTTGGATGAGCCGAACTTTCTGGCCACGAGCTCTGACCGCATGAGTCAAGTGTGAGTTGTCAGGAAGCTAGAGAGTGTCAGCTCCCAGGGTCCTCAGTGGGGGCTGGTCACATGGCCACCTGTCCTACCTGCCACCCACCAAAGTCTCAGACTCCAGACAGCAGTGGGTTCAGGCTGGAGTTCACTGGATCAGATGCCTCAGGTGTGGTGAGCCTCTCTTACCACGTTGGGTGGGGTACCCTCCTGAATTCCAGGTTTCCAGATGAGTCAAGGGCCAGCTGTGGGCAGGCCTTTCTGCAGACGGTGTCAGTCCTGCTGCGTCAGCCTATCTTTGCACCACCTCCTCTCGCTGCTGCTGCTGCTGCGGGGGACTGCAGCCCCAGGGACTGGGAATGGGGCCCATCCCTGAGAACTTGAGGGTTGGACAGGTTTCTGAGCATCTCGGAGCCCCATTGACTCTCAGAGGAGAGCTTGGTGTGGGGCCCTATGGAGGACAGATGGGGAGGCTCAGAACTCCCTTTCATCCCTCCTCTCTTCCCTCCTGCTGGGTCTTTGGTGTCTGAACGGGGCTCTGGGACAGGGCGTCAGCTCCTGTGGACCGGCCAGAAGTCCTGATTTCCTTTGCCTGCTCGCTCAAGGTCAGGCCTTAATACATATCGGCTCCCCATCCCGGTGGCCACAGCATCGTGGCCATGCTCTGTGCAGCCACTGCCCAGACCACTGTTGGTCAGGCCCACCTCCTGGGTAAGGGGCAGGCCCATGCCGTGGTTCTGAGTGTCTGTCTTTGCTGGATGTTTGTCCCATTGTGCTCTTTCCGAGGCCCCATTTTCTCCATGTCGGTCCTCAAGTTCTCTTCTAGTGTTCTGGCCACATCACAGCCACTGTGGGCCTCCTGGCATATTCTCCTCCCATGGGCGAGGGGCTCTGTCTGGAGGGCATGGGCTTTGTCACTTCTGTCCCACACACTGTTCTCTGTCCACACACTGCAGAGGGCTGACTGGGACACCCGTGGTCACACTCCTGCCCCAGGGACTGGGCAGGACCCTCTGGTGGCTGCTGACATGCACTCAGAGTTGGGGTGGGGGGAGCACATTTCTGACACCTGGGCATCGATTCAGATGTTTCTGAAAGTGGCCAGAAATTAAGATGTGCCGAGAACCACCCTCACCTGTCCCCTTGCAGCATCCCTTTCTGGCCCCTACAGCCTTGACCAGAAATCACAGTGGTGCCAGGGAGCAGGTATGCAAAGTGCCTTCTATGAGGAAGTCAGAGGCCATGGAGGCTACAGAAGGACCCTGTTTTCTTTTATGGAAAGAGAACAAAGGCATAAAAGACCAGCTGGTTAGATTCTCAGGGCTTCTGTGTGCAGCCTTACTGAGACATGGAGATTCCTGCCAGGTGGCAAAGGCCATCAAAAGCGATGGACCCTCCAGGGGCCTGAGGAGAGTTGAAGGGCTGCAGAGACCTGTCCAGCAGTGTCAGGCGGGCTTCCTCGGGGTCCCTGCCTGGCCTGGGCTGCTCAGCTCCATGGGAGGGACTGTCCCTGGACAACACTGGCTCTGAAGCCTTCCTCCTCAGCTCAGCAGGAAGTCTAGGCTGGACACCCGCCTCTCAAGGAGGGGACCCTTCAACAGACAGAGACAGCCTCTGATTGGGTGGGGACAGGCCTCAGCTGCTGCTCTTCCCCCGAACAGGACCCCCACTCACATCTTGCCCCCATGAGCATCATTTTGGAAGCTCTGAGGCTAAGGTGAATGCAGATCACCTTGACTGTGAAGAATCACCACCCTAAAGTGCTCTGTCCACGGGATCAGTGGTTCTCCACCAGGGAGACTCTCTCCCTTAGGGACCAGTGGCTGCAGCTGGAGAACTTGGTGGTCATCACAGCTTGGGATGAGATGCCACTGGTGTCTGGTGGTGGGGGGAGGGCAGGGATGTTTCTGATGGTCCTACAGTGCCCAGGATACCCCACAATACAGGACGGTCCAGCCCCAAATGTCAGAGATGCCACTGGTGTCTAGTGGAGTGGGCAGGGGTGTGCCTGAACACCCGATAAGGCCCAGGATGCTCCAAAATATAGGATGGTCCAGCCCCAAATGTCAGGAGTGTGGAGGCTGAGAACCCCTAACTCGGGTGTTTCTAGGGCTCAATCCCTATAACCCGGGTCCTCCTTCCTTCTCTTGGCAGGAGACCATGATGGAACCCCTGACCTTGGGTGTATCTAGGGCTTGTTCCCTGTAACCTGGGCTCTCCTTCCCTTCCCGACAGGAGACCATGATGGGACCCCCAACCTCAGGTGTTTCTAGGGCTTGTTCCCCATAACGCAAGCCCTCTCCTCCTCTCCCCTTCTCCCGGCAGGAGACCATGATGGACCATGCCCTGCGCACCATCTCCTACATCGCGGACATTGGGAACATTGTGGTGCTGATGGCCAGACGCCGCATGCCGCGCTCTGCCTCCCAGGACTGTATTGAGACCACCCCTGGGGCCCAGGAGGGGAAGAAGCAGTATAAGATGATCTGCCACGTGTTTGAGTCTGAGGACGTGAGTAAATGTGCAGGCATGATGTTCCCTCCCAGTGGCCTGGGCCCCACAGGCTCCGAAGTGTCCCAGGAAACCTTGTATCTGGTGGGGATCCTGTGCACCATCACGACACTCCCAGCAGAAGCAGTGATTTTTGTAACACTCTTGGAATTTGCAGAGACCATGGACACAGCTCTGTTTCACTTCATGAAATGAGTTTTTGAGGAGTTTGTAAGAAGAATCCTAGTTAAATAGGCTGAGGAGCTTTCTGACTAGGTCCTTTAGCAAAAGCTTGTTCTTCCCAAATACAGTAGCTCCAACTCACTTTTCTGTTGAGGATCACACCCCTGCACGGGGAGGGTTGTTAATGGGAAGGCATCTCTGCTTTTGCTCACAGCTGTTTCAGGCCATAAGGAGCTGGAAAATCCAGTGGGACCCTTGTACAACATGGGCTTGAACATGAGGGCTCACTTACCTAGACCTTTGTAGCTGTAGATGCTGCAGAGCTGCACAAGCAGTTTTGCTTGAATCCTCGGATCTCAAATTGCGTACACAGGGAAATTGTGGGTATAGAGGGCTGATTATAAATTGTTGTTCAGTTGCTCAGTCACGTCTGACTTTTTGTGACCCCATGGATTGCAGCACCCCAGGCTTCCCTGTCCTCCACTATCTCGTGGAGTTTGCTCAAACTCATGTTTACTGAGTCAGTGATGCCATCCAACCATTGTTTCTCTGTCATCCCCTTCTCCTCCTGCCTTCAATCTTTCCTAGCATCAGGGTCTTTCCCAATGAGTCGGCTCTTCGCCTCAGGCGGCCTAAGTATTGGAGCTTCAGCTTCAGTCCGTCCAATGAATATTAAGGGTTGATTTCCTGTAGGATTGACTGGTTGGGTACAGAGAGCTGACTGGAAAAGTTAGACATGGATTTTTTTAGACTGTTCAGAGGGTCAGTGCCTATAACCTTTGTTTTTTTCAGAGGTCAACTCTAATTTTGATGTTTAAAATACTACAGACTCACTAAGAGACCATGACCTCGCTGACTCCTGTGTTGGGTGGGATGAGAGCATCTTTCTGAGCCTGGAAGAGGGAGAAAGGGACAGGGGAAGGGAGCAGGAGGGCAGAAAGTGAGAGTGGTCTCTGGGATGCCCTGGGCAGATCTGACTCAGGACCACCCCGGAGGCAGTGCTGAGCTGTTCTTATGGCTGTTGCCAGGGTACGATTTTAATAAATTCTCTCTCCTCCATGGACACTTGGAAGGGGCATTCTCAGTCACCAAGGGACTTGAGGGTGTGTCTAAGACCTGGAGCAGTGGAGTAGGGTCCCGGTGTTTTCAGGTTTGAGCAGGGTGGCTGGGGGCAGTGATGTTTCTGCTAAGAAGTTGAAGTCAAGTGTGAGTGCTTTGAAGCAATGATGTTGATAGGAGAGGGAGTTTACATACAGACGCACTAGTGCACACTCATGTTCCTTTCACCTTACACAGATGTCTGTGGACTCCTGCATGGACATATTTGTGTGGCTCATAGCTTGACACATCTCAGAGACTTGGCATGGGGGTTAGTGATGGGTCCTGGAGAAGGGCCATGGTTGATGGGGGGTGAGGCAGGACACAGGTGAACAGCCTGCCTGTGCTGGGAGCAGGAGGAGTGTCCGAGCTGCCTGCCATGTCCTGGTGCTGCTGTGGTCTTGGTTTCTCATTGGGAGAGGAGGCTGAGAGCAAGGGCAGGAGTGTGTGGGGCTCCAAGTGGCCCTTGAATGTGTGTGGGAAAGATGGACTGGGAGGGGCATGAGAGAAGAGCAGCCCCCTGGAGAGTTGGGCCCTGATGATGGCCCCACCAGATGGGCTGCCAGGATGAGTGAAGTATCCAAGGGTCCCATGCAAGCAGAAGGGGGAAATGGAACATGGCTGCTAGAACTCTGGTAGCCCCCTCAGAGTCCCTGTTTCCCCTCTGTTAAGTGGAAACCAGCACAGATGAGCCACAGAGGTGAGTGCTGGGGGCAGGGCAGCCTCTCTCCACCTTCACCCACCTGCAGGAGGCCCCTCTGAGTGCCAGCCTCCATTGCCCCCTGGGGAGGCCCATGACACCTGCCTACCTTCTGGGCTCATGGCCCTGGCTGTGACCCTGGGGACAGGACAAGGGAAGGCCCTTGGGACTCAGAGGGACGGCTGCCAGGACGAGGGCAGATGGGGGATGGGAGACTGCAGCCAGCAGGTGGTGGGAAGATGCTGAGGTTTGCGGAGTGAGCCCCACGGAGCTCGGGCATGTACCACCTCATTCCCCAGAAGCTCCCCAGGTGGTGGGGGGGCCGTCCAGGTAAAGCTCAAAGGGCAGGCTCAGGGCAGTGGGTGAGGGGAGCACGAGTGATGCTCAACCCCTTCCTAGTCAGTGGACCCCAGTCAGAGGCCTGGGGGTGGTCGGTGCCAGCAAACCTGAGACCCCAGCAGGTCAGGGCAGGTCTGGGCCTCTGGGGCGCTCTCACCCTCCACCCACGGACCAGCCTCCTCCTGGAGGCCAGGATCCTCTGCTTGGCCTGAGCCTCTGCCAAGCGCTGTTCACTGGGCTCTGCATGCATCTGGGCCAGTGGCGCCACCTGGTGGCTCTAGGGCTCCACACCTGCGACTGAGCATACTCAGTCCTCCCTCTGAGCAGAGGGGCCAAACTGCCAGGACGCAGCTCCAAGGGTGAGCAGGGCTGGGTCCTGTTGAGTGGACGTGGGCTTCTCTTCTGCAGACTGTTAGGGGCCCAATTTGGGAAGGCCGTGTAGTCTAGCATCAGAGGGCTCCGAGCTCTGGCTCTGTTACCTGGCCCAGCCCAGTTTTCACAAAGGCTTATTTGTTTGCAGCCTGAGAATCGTGCAGCATGTAGAGCAAGAATGGGACTTGGGCCAGACCCTCAATTCCACGTGTTTTGGGTCATGTTGGCCTGAGGTTTTGCCGAGGGTCGCACTGTTCTCCCCTGGCTCCCCAGCTCTTTGGGTCTTTACCCTCGCCTCTCAAGGCCCTTCATCTGCACACCAGCAGGTGGCGTGTCAGCCTGTGCAGCGCTGCTCAGTGTCCAGACCTCTGCAGTGTTAGGGGTCCAACCCAGTCCATAGAAATGGTCCTGTTGAAGTAGAAAGAAGTGTGGGGATTTCCCTGGTGGTTCAGTGGTTAAGACTCCCCTGCTTCCATGCAGGGGGCATAGGTTCAATCTCTGAGCAGGGAATTAAGATCCCACATGCTGTGTGACATGGCCAAATATATATATATATATATATATATATATATATATATATATATATATATATATATATATGAAAAAGAGAAGTAGAAAGAAGTGAGTTCCTCTGTGCCTTGCCCTGTGCCCTGCCCCCAAGGGCCCCGGCTTCTCGTTGACCTCACTTTGGCACATCTACACCCCCACGAGCATGACTGGCACACATCCTGCCCCCACTCCCGCCCCGATGGACTGGGTCCTGCTGCTGTGAGAAGTAAATACTGGGTGGATGACTGACAGCCTCTGTGATGCTCCCTGACAGGATGCACCTCCAGGCTGCATTTGGAATAAGATGACTGAAAAGAAAATACAACATGGTCACCAGGGAAAGCAACAGAATTATGGTCATTAGCAAATAATTCATAATCTCCTCAGACTTTATTGGACATAGGCTTTGTCTTAGGATGTCTGAGGTTTAGGGCAGCTTGGGTGGGGGCAGGCAGGGTGCCCAGCAGCAGAAGGGCTCCCCCCACAGAGACCGGGCCACATTTCTCTGCAGCTCCTTGGAGCCCAGCCAGGGCCCCCCTCCCTGTCCAGGCCTGTGGGCCTGCCTGTCTCCAGTAGCCGACCCTCTTCCGTCCCCTCCCCTCTCCTGAAGGCCCAGCTCATCGCCCAGTCCATCGGCCAGGCCTTCAGCGTGGCCTACCAGGAGTTCCTGCGGGCCAATGGCATCAACCCCGAGGACCTGAGCCAGAAGGAGTACAGTGACATCATCAACACCCAGGAGATGTACAACGATGACCTCATCCACTTCTCCAACTCGGAGAACTGCAAGGAGGTGGGCGACCGGGGACGGCAAGGGGCTCTTGGGCGGGCGGCCAGGGCGAGCCTTCCTGGTGTGTGGCCAGTGTCCCTCTGGCTCCCGCCTTCGCAGCGAGTACTTGTGTGTGAAGAGTGTGGTGCTGTTACAGCAGAGGAGCTGCCGACAGTCCGTCTTGATGACCCTGAACTTGTGCTCTTTACTTCTGCTCTTAGCCGAGGGCTCAGCCCCTGGTGTTGTTTCTGGAAGGCGTGTGGGAGTGGGCTAGGAAGCCTCCCATAGTAGGGCCTTGACAGGCTCCCATGGGCTTGCTCAGGGCTCTCTAGAAAGTTCTCCTGAGACAGAGGAGCGAATCCCGGGGTGGCCTGTACCCTGCCTGCTTGTGCATGGGTGAACAATCCTGGCTTGTTGCTGAGTGAAGGAGTGCTTGACAGGCAGCTCTCTGAGAGTGATCTGAGAGGCGGAGAGAAAATGAAGAACTTTTCTGGATGAGTTTGGAGGCCTGGCAGGGTTTGTGTCTGGATTCTGAAAATGTGCCTCTGGCCTCTGTGGGTCTGGGAGGGTGAGGGGAGCCTAGACACATGGAGCCAAGCTTGGGACAGGGGGTGATCTGTGCTCTGGGTTCACAGGATGGTGGGGTGGGCCCTGAGAGAGCTTGGGAGCTGGAGCTGGTAGAGGCCAGGGGGATGGTGGGTGGGCCAGGATTTGTGGCCTTGGTTTGGAGGGCCTGGGTGGGGCTGGTCCTTCTGTGGGTGCTGGGCAGAGGCCTGCCCCAGCCCTGTCTCAGGCAGGCCTCTCTTACTCTGCCGATTACCTTGCAGCTGCAGCTGGAGAAGCACAAGGGCGAAATCCTGGGTGTGGTGGTGGTGGAGTCAGGCTGGGGCTCCATCCTGCCCACTGTGATCTTGGCCAACATGATGAATGGAGGCCCGGCCGCCCGCTCAGGGAAGCTGAGCATCGGCGATCAGATCATGTCCATCAACGGCACCAGCCTGGTAGGGCTGCCACTCGCCACCTGCCAGGGCATCATCAAGGTGGGCACAGGGCCCCTCACTTTATCCTCGATGTTTTGTAATCCCCACTGACCCACAGGGAGGCTGAGCCCAGAGAGACCCACCCATCGACTTTGAACCCAAGACTGCACCACGTCCCTGACACATCAAAGAGGGACCTGCTCCACCCCCACGGTAGGGATCTTGAAGGAGGCGCTGTCTGCTCTCACTTAGCTGGCTCCTGAACCACAGTGATCCCAGGAAAGGCCTGAGGACCTGTAGCTGTCAGGTGACCAGGTTGTCCTGGTTTGCCTGGGACTTGTCACTGATAGTCACACCTCCTGGGCACCTGAGGAGGTGGGTCCTCAGCCTGGATCTGAGCTGGGGTGTTGCTCTCCCCATCTGACCAGAGGACCTGCAGGTGTTTCATCAAATGGTGCACTGTGGTCTCGGGGCTGGAGGATGGACCCCCACCCCACTGTCACTCACAGATGAAGTTCTGTGAGTTGGCTTCTGGACCTGGGGACCCAGTGGGTATCATGTAGCTAGATAGACAGAGAGACATATAAGAGGCCTCCATCAGAGGTGCTGAGGCTGGGCCGGCCAGGACCCTCCCTCTGCAGGCTGAAGCTCCTGGGCTAGTTTCTCTCCGTGATGGAGGCTTGTGTGTATGCGTGCATATGTGTGTGTGCATGCATGTACATGGGGGAGGAGTTCCCTGCAGCCATGTTCAGGCCAGGCCCCTCCCCCTCCCTCCACTGAGTCCCAGGACTGTGACCGCAGCTTTCACTGTCCCCTGGGGCCTGAGGTGGCCCTTGGATTGAACTGGCCTGTCTCAGTGTAGACACGAGTCTCCCGCTGGCAGATTTCCTTGCCCTGCCCCCAGCACAAGGGTCCTTCTCTGGAGGACACTTTGTTTTCTGGATGGGGCCCTCCTTGTCTTTGCAAACAGGAAGTTCCCTGCATGCAGCCTGGTGAGGGCCCCTGAGGGTGATCAGGTGTCAGCTTCTTGGCTGTGCACAGGGGTGCTCAGAGCCTGGCCTCTGTCCCTGGGGGCAGCTTGTTCTTGCCCAGGTCAAAGGGCACACCAGAGCAGAGGGAGCCCCGACACACACTGCCACCTGGGATGGGTCAGGGTAAGGCCTGCATCCACGCACAGGGGGACCTGGGTGTCTAGAGGGACCTGCCTCGGGTTCTCTGTGCCTAGGGCTCTGCCTTGCAGCCAGCTCACCCCCAGCCCAGGCCCCAGAGCTTGTCTTTCTAGCAGCATCTCAGACCCTCATGTTCCTGCTCATAGGGTCTGAAGAACCAGACTCAGGTGAAGCTCAACATCGTCAGCTGCCCGCCAGTCACCACTGTCCTCATCAAGCGGCCGGACCTCAAATACCAGCTGGGTTTCAGCGTGCAGAATGGCATCGTGAGTCCGCTCAGCCCTTGGCAGCCTCTGCCGTGCCTGTGGATGGCTGGTGCAGGGGGCAGGGGCAGCTGTCTGCGTGCCCCCTGCCCCCCTGCCCCAGAACAGCTCCTGTCTGATGGAGCAGGTCCCGGCCAGCAGCCAGGCCAGGCAGGGTGGGTGGGCCAGTGTGCGGGTGGAATGGGTCCCTCCAGCCCCCCAGGGCACCCCATCCTGGTGGTGGCGTCCTCTGCAGACCCCCTACTTTGGAGTGGAGGCCAGAGCCCTCCTACCTCTGCATTTGGGACCCGCACGCAGCCAATGGCAGCGTCAGTCAGGTGTTTGAAAGACACCTGAGCATTCCTGTGTTCATTCATTCACTCACCCATTCAGAGCTTCGCATGAAGTTCCGGCACTGTGCCAGCCGTGACCCTAGGCACTGGAGGCAGGACAGGAGCCCCTCCAGGAGTAGGAGATGCTAGGCTGAATGAATGTTGGTCTGGCTGAAAACTCTGCCTGTTCCTCAGCTAGGACTCTTCCCTCCAGAGTCCCACCTTCTCTTTGACCCGTACCAGTTCTGTTTCCTGGGTGGTTCCTTCTGCAGAGGTCCCAGTAGGCTGGGACTTCGCCACAGAGGATGGAAGAGAGGAGGCTGGTCATTTCCACATTGCTTAGGCCAGCCCAGGAGGAGGTTGTAGGATGCATGGTGTCAGGTGAGGGGGATGTGTATGTCCCCTCCCCCTGGGAACACAACAGGAGAGCGACCCAGAAACCAGACCGCCAAGGAGACAGTTTCCCCCATCATTACCTAGTGCAGGAGTGTGGGGAGGTAAATTTGTTGGCTGGGGTAGCAGTGACTGTGTTCACCGGAAAGAGCAGAGTGGCTGCTGGAGAATCTTCCAGAACGGGCTTTACTTGTGTACCACCGTGATCCAGAAGCAGAGGCCTCAGGATGGAGAGGCAGGTTCTCCCACAGCCATTTCCAAGCACATTCTAAATCATTAACCTCTCAGTTTGTTAAGTCAGCAGAGCATTTGTAGGAGCATCTGTCCGAGGGCTTCATCCTTCCAGTGGTTAATTCTCCCCACCTTTGCAGGCAGAAGGAGGCTGGTAGGCAGGGCAGGGACACTTAACTGACGGGACACCCCAACCCAACCCCGTGTCACTTAGATCTGCAGCCTCATGCGTGGGGGCATCGCGGAGCGGGGCGGTGTGCGCGTCGGCCACCGCATCATCGAGATCAATGGGCAGAGCGTGGTGGCCACTGCGCACGAGAAGATCGTCCAGGCGCTGTCCAACTCGGTGGGAGAGGTGAGAGGTCACTGCCTGAAACCAGAACTGGGCTCTCGGGACCCAAAGGTCTCTAGGACCTGACATCAAATTCCCAAGGGCATGTAGGTGCACTGGACTTCCGAGAGCCCCTCAAGGGCCAGTCAGCTGAGCTGGGCTGTATCTCCCAGGGGAGCCCGTGGCAGGCGGGGTTCAGTGTCCTCTCCTCGCTCTGGTTACCTGTGCAGCCAACAGGATGGGTGGGCACTGGGTGGAGACTTGAAGGCTGGCCCTGTTGCACTGCCCCCTCCTACTCTGCTGGCTTCAGCCCTCCCTGCCTTTTTCTGCTGCTCTCTGGCATAGACACGAGGCTGGTGTGAGGATGGGCACCAGGTGGGGGGTTCAAGGGGGAGCTCAGGAGGGAGGGGGTGCTCAGGGTGCCTCGGGGGAGATGTAGGTGCTGGGGGAGTGCCAGCCCAGTGTTGGCACAGAGGCCTCCCCAGTATGGGGGGGGGTGTATAGGGCTGTGTGTAGCAGGGTGTCAAGGTGAACAGGTGAGGGTCTCCCAGGGAGAAGCCTGGGTGATCACAGTACAGAAGGAGCAGACCAGACAGAGCAGAGAGGTGGGTGGCACAGGGGACGCGTCTGAAGGCAGGTGCTGGGCAGGGAGTTTGGGTTTGGTTCTGAGGGTGGTGGGGACCCCAGGGGCCATGTGCGGAGGGAGGGCTCTGGGGCAGTGTGGGGGCATGGCTCCCTCTTCACAGCCTGGGGGTAAATGGGTGGGTGGGGTGCTCTCTCCTGGGGGATCTTCAGATTGCATCGGTCAGGACACATTTCCTGGGGCCACAGGGACCTACCAAGGTTTTGTGAAAGTCCCAGGGCTGGGGCAAGGGGGCTTCCCTGGTAGCTCAGCTGGTAAACAATCCAAACAATCAGACCAGGGTCTTCACCTGCAATGTAGGAGACCCCGGTTTGATTCCTGGGATAGGAAGTTCCCCTGGAGAAGGGATAGGCTACCCACTCCAGGATTCTTTAGGCTTCCTTTGTGGCTCAGACAGTAAAGAATCAGCCTGCAGTGCAGACGTGGGTTCAGTCTCTGGATCAGAAAGATCCCCTGGAAGAGAGCATGGCAACCCACTCCAGTATTCTTGCCTGGAGAATCCCATGGACAGAGGAGCCTGATGGACTATAATCCATGGGGTTGCGAAGAGTCAAACATGATTGAGCGACTAGGCACAGAAGGCTTGGGGTGGGGGGCAGTTACCCTTCCCAAGTAGGGGCAGATGCTGAATCTCAGGAAGGAGGGACCAGGTAGGCATCGCTGGCCGCCTTTTACAAATGACTTAAGAGAAAGTAGAATCCAATTTTCCTAAGTAGATGCTTGGGGGCAGCCATCAGCCTTGCGCTTCTCAGGGAATCAGTAGTGTGGGAGAGTTGGGGGTGGGGAGCAGGTTGGGGAGTAGGGGTTGGGGGCGGGCAGGCAGTCGGAGAAATGCTTCCGCCTCTCCAGACCCAAGGTAATGGTTATTAGGGAGGCTGGAATGCGGGCTGGGGCGGGAAGCCCTTCAGCCTGGGTGGACCTCATGCTGGACTGGCTGGCTCTGGGAGTGACAGTGTCTGTCCTCATTTCCCATCATTGCTGAACATGTTTGGGAATTGAGCTGCTGATCAGCTAGAGCTGGTGTTCTGCTGGGCCTTGGGGAGGGTTTCTGATTAAGGAAATACAGAGAATGAACCTTCTGATGGGAAAAAACCCTCACAGGCTGACAAAGTACCGAACAGCTAATTGGATCACACAGATCCTAGTGCTGGGGGTGCCGGTGGGAGTCTGTGGTCAGAAAACCTATCAGCCAAGTTGGCCCATCAGGGTCACTTGGACGAGTCCTGAGGGCTGCTTGCCCAACCTAGGGGTGGACTGCACCCCTGGCCTCTCTCCTGGAGGTTGGCCAGCCCGGCCCCTAGAGCCACAGCCACCCACAGGGGCCTGAGTACGGCTGGGTCCGGGATGGCTTGGGGAGTAGGATGCTCAGAGGAAGTAGGAGCAGAGCCCGGGGCCCTGGTGGGAGTTGGGGTGTGTGTCCCTCACGGTGGGCCTCCCGGGGCAGCCGTCTTTGTGTTGCGGGTGGCCCAGTCTCCTTGGTGCCAGCAACTGAGGCCAGGTTCCTGCCCCCAGCACATGCACTTTGTGTGTGTGAGCCTCTGGTTCTCCTGCTGAGGCAAAACTCGCCCCTTGCAGTATCTAAGAAGGTCTGGGCACCCTGGCCTGCCCTTCCCGTGGGCAAAGTCCAGCTTTTCACCCAGCCGGTGTCAGGTTGAGGTGAAGGGAAGACCAGCCCTTGACCTCATGGAAAACCCTCTAAAGACCCGGATGGGAGCCCAGATCTGTCTGCAGGGGCAGTAAACGCTTTCTGAGTCGCCGTCCAGGCTGGTGACCTCGGGCAGGTCCTTCTTCCTTTCCTTGGCTGCTGGCAATTTACACAGGATGTGCTCAGGGTGCTTGGGCACCACTGGCCTTGTGGTGCTTGCTTTTGGGGGTGCATGGAGGGGAGGGAGATGTGAAGGCATGGAGGGCCGGGTCAGCCCCCCACCTCTCTCTCTCATCGGCAGATCCACATGAAGACCATGCCTGCCGCCATGTTCAGACTGCTCACAGGCCAGGAGACCCCGCTGTACATCTAGGCTGCCTGCCTCCACCCTGATGAGCGGGAGCCAGACCCAGGACCTGACCCCTGACCCCACAGCGCACCCGAGGACACCAGCTCTGCTGAAGGGCATGCCCTCACCACCCACTTTTATTTTTTGGACTGAAAGGGGTATGTCTGTATTCAAGGAGGGTCCCAGGAAGCAGTCTCTGTAGAACAGTCCAGTGTTTTGCCGCATCCTGAGTTTTCTCACCGCGATGGGCGAGGGCTTGTCTGTACTTCCGTGTGGTGCAGAGCCAGTGTGCAGGGCGGATGTGGGGACCTCTGGCCACCACCGTGCAGGGAGCCCCGGGGGGACAGCGAGCTCAGGGTGGGGGGCAGTGGCAGTGCCCCCACCCTCTGCAGGAGCTCAGGCTCCTGTGGGGAGGGTGCACAATGGCCGAGCATGGGCGGCCAGCTCTCAGGATGTGACCAGTCACTGAAGCTGGGTGACTGTGTTTCTGAGAAAGGAGATATCCCCGAGTTACATAAAGGGTGATGTCCACAACCTCAAGACTCCACACTTAGACAATATCACCGTTTTGACTCTTATCCGACAACAAGCCACTCTTCAGACAGTAGGGTTTTCCGATGATCTCTGACCACACCTGCTGTCCATGCTCACCTGTCCACTGGTCCCTGGACGCCCCTGAGCAGCCTCACACCACTGTGGGCCAGCTGCCTCGTCACAATCTCTGTCTGCACACAAGCATCCACACGTGCGCTCTCGCCTCGGACACCAGACCCACACCGGACACCTGGACACCTGTGGTCCCTGGGGCCCCACGCCTGATCTCTTCGCTGTTAGCAGCAGCGTTCCTTGCGTGTAGATCAAGTGCAGCATAGTCTAGCCCCGCCTGCAGAGCTCAGCGATCACCGATGTCGTTCTGTCTGGAAGTCTCTCTTGGGCCCAGGCCTTGAAGAAAACACTGTGACTTAAGAAGCCTTACCATGCGGTAACTAAGCTCTAGGACCACTGGACGAGGGTGAACCTGTGTGTTGCATGCCACTGACCTTGGGAAGACTCGCTAATACCACTAATAAACCCGAGGTCACGATGGAAAGCTGTCCTGCGGCTGGTTTGTTGACAGGGACGCAGCCGCCTAGCTTCCCTTTGACTCCGTGCCTCTCTGTCCAGCTCTGGGAGGGGGTCTTCTCGCTGAATGTGAGGGCTTTGGGCAGAATTGGTCAAGGGAGAGCAGGGACGGGGGGGGTCTTGGGCTTCTCCTGGCTTAGATTGGAATCGCCTCTGTAGAGGCATGTGCATGGATAGAGAAGGAAGCTGGCCTACTCGCAGCACTGGCTCCTTGCCTGTGGCCGCTCTGCAGCCCATCTAGCGTAACAACAGGACTGATCATCACTGACTGCACTTCGTGGTCATTGTCCTGGGCCCGGTGTCCTGTGGCATGGGGAGGTGGGGTGAGCCTGGGCTTTGGTCAGAAGCACTGATCTGTGTCCAGCATGGTAGTCGGGGACACTGGATGAGCAGGGCGCCTTCTCTGGCTGGGATCCTGGCTCCATGCTGTGAGCTAATAGCCAGGGCTGGACCACACTATGCAGTGAGAGCTAGAGGGCAGAGGCCTCAGGTCAGGGGGCCCAGGGGGCCGGCCCTGCAGTGCCCAGGATGAGGTAGATGAACAGGCTGCAGCAGGGAAACCCATGGCTAGCAAATGACATGGGGACAGGTGCCCCATCAAACGGTAACACATAAAAAAAAAATTAAAGAGGGCTTTAAGCCAGCTTCAATCCCTCCCAGAAGCCAGGGTGCATCCCACGGAGGGACAGCTAGAGGCCAGCATCTGTGGGACTTACATGTGTCTAGGTACCTGTCTTGTCCCTGATGTCTCCAGAAGCATGTTAGGAAATGCATGTCAGGGGGCCAGGGGTAGTCATGCTCCCTTGTTGGCTGTCCAGCCTGACCCTGGCTCGGGATCTGGTCACTAGCAGTGACACATGGTTCTCAGGGTCTGTCTGTCCTAGTCAGACCTCAGAGACACAGAGGCCAGAAATAGCTTTTATTAAAACACTGATCATTATGAAAACACCTTGAGGTACATTAAATACAGCCTGCCAGTTGTACAAACAGGCTTGAAAACAATTTGCTATAAATTCTGCCTTCATAGCAGCATCTGTGGATCGGTACAGCCAAGGGGAGAAAAACATCCATTTAAAATGAGATTTCTTTTCCATGGTTTGTTACAAGAATTTAATTTGTATCGCCGTTGCCAGCTGAAGGGGCCCATAAGTCCTTGGGAAGGAAAGGTCCCCGCTGTTTGACAAAGATTTGGGGTCCAGCACGCCCCCAATCTCAGCATCCCTGTGGTCCCTGGGGAAGGAAAAGCTCCCTGCTGTTTGACAAAGATTTGGGGTCCAGCATGCCCCCATATCAGCATCCCTGTGGCCCTGGGGGTGGGGGAGTCTGATGGCAGTGTCCTGACAGGCTCTGGCTCCGAGGTAAGCCGGCTCTCCGGGGAAGCACGGGGAGTCAGAGGGAGCAGCGGCACCAGACCCCATGCAGGGGGCATCCTGTGCCTCGGCTTCCAGCATAGCCCCTGGCGGCCCGCCTGTTAGCGGTTAACCAGGGCAGGCAGCACAGGGCCGAGTGGGCGCGGGTGCAGGTTTTGGGGGAATCAGCTTTCCCTGTGGCCAGGCACCCACATGGCCTGGGGCTCAGGGTGCTCGATGCAGGGACCCTGATGTCACCGATCAGAGTGGGGTTGGAGGTGCTGGGGCTGGGGAGTCAGACCCCAGTCTGCAGCCAGGCACTGCTCTCTTCCCGGGACCTTTCCTGGAAGCTGGGAGCCGGGCTCTGTGGGAGTCCACGTGGTCGCCAGGCCCTCAGGAGGTGCTAGTGCAGTGAAGCAGGACTCAATGCAGAGTCCTCATCCACAAACACTGTGAGAACGTGCCTGAGGACTGAGCATTGAGAACACCTGGATGACGGGCTTTGGGCCAGAGTGCCCACCTGCACCCAGGTGGAGGCACAGGCTGTGTCAGGTGTCCAGAGGCAGGAGATGTGTCCCCATGCAGGGAGGGGACGCAGAGGACATGGAGCACCAGGCCAGGCCTCCTGGGGGGGTCACCTGTCCGGCTGCTCAGTAACAGTTCTGATGCCCACAAGGTCAAGCCTCACTCGAGCCACAGCCACATCTGAGACTGCAGGTTTGGCCTGGGGATCTGCTGTGTGAGTCCCCAAGCCTGATGTGGGCCCTTCTGCCCACCCAGGTGAGCTCCCTGCAGCCTGTGAAGCTCTGGCTGCCACCCCACAGAGACCCAGATGAAGAGGTGCAGGCTGGAGGCTCAGGGGAGGCCCTTTGGAAAAACCATCAATTTACTTTACCTACAGAGAGAGTGGCTTTGGGGACTTCAAAAGCCCTCAGCCGAGAAAAATTAAGAGATTTTCATTTTACAGTCTGGATAAAGTGCTCATAAATTCATCTCTGGGATGTCTCGAGTGGAGAAGTTCCAGCTGTCATCAGAGGCCTGAGTAGATATTGGTACAGTTCTTACCTCTGGGAGGCAGTGATCAATGATAATGTGACTAAAACAAAGTGTTCACAGCTGACCATCACCTGGGCTTCCTACCTCGGGGTCCAGGGGCTCCTCCGGGTGTCTGGGCTGGAAACACTCCCCCAGCCACCCTTTCCCTACTCCCTGACACATCCCAGCACAATGGCCCCAGGCTTCTGGACCCCTGGCAGTGGTGGGCACCTACCTGGCCCAACCCCCACACTCCCCTTGTTGGGCCCGCGGGCTCCTGGTTGAGGACTGGGGGATTCAGCTGTCTTGTCCCACAGGGGCCACCAGCCACAGTCCAGGATGATACAGGTGTCCCTGTGGCTGCAGAAAGTTGAGGATGGTGCTACCCTGGGGCCATGGTTGGGAAGTAGCTGCTGTTGAGGTCATCAGAGCCAGTGGTTCAGGGAGGTGGCATGAAGATCAAGGGTCCCCAAGGAAGCTTTTGCACACTCAGGGTGGTTTATGGAAAGGGATGGACAGCCCGCATCTTCCAAAGCAGACGCGGACGCTGCTCAGCTGGGGAAGGGGCTGCTCTGGGTCATGAGATCCCTTGAGGCCAGTCTGGCCAAGGCGGATGTGGGAAAACCCTGGGGGTATCCACAGGGGCTTACTGTTCCAGGACAAAGTGCTCTGTGCCGAGCGGGTTAAAAAGACAGCGAAGAGGCTGCCAGAGAGGAAGCAGGGAAGATGCTCTGGTTGGTGGTGGGTGGAGCAAGAAGGGATTGCCAAGGAGACAAGGTGATGGGGGTCCCTCAGAGCCCCTAGTCACAGCCATCTGTCCCCCAAGGTGGCCGGGCCACTGGGGTGTCCCTCATTGTGTATGTGTTCACCAGATGTGGTGGCCATGTTGCCCTTCGGGCAGAAGGCTGAGCCCAGGATGCCATCTGGGCTAGAATTACTTAATTTCCTTAACAATCAGTATCTGAGACAGGGTAGATCGTGGATACAAACCACAAGGGAAAATGGACTCACTGCCTGATGCCCTGCTTGACCTGCTTAAACAATTAAGTCAGGGGTGGGGGGGATCCTGCTCCTCCACGGCCCCAACCTTGAAGATACTTCAGTTCAGCTAGATGCATGACCCTGTCACTGGATTCCTGTTGCTTGGTTCGTTCAAGGCACCATCTGCCTGACAGCACCAAGGATTCACGAGGGACAGGGGAGAGTTGTCTGCTGTGTCACTGGGCTAGGTAGGAAGTGTCACCCCCAGAGAACAGCAGATGGGGTTCCCCTCCAGGGCAGAGCAGCTGTTTCCCGCCTGAACCACCCTGGGCCGCGGCTCTCCCCACAGGCCTGGTGCCCAGGTGGGGACTCAGGTACCACAGTTCATCCACATCTGTGTCCACGCCCAGACAGAGGCGCTGTCACAGCTGGCCCAGGACATGGGTGCTGAGGACGGCCTCTTCCATGAGGCACTCCTCGGGGGGCACAGCTGAGCGGGCAGAGCCCACCACGTGCCTCACCTCCACGGGCAGGGAGCTGCTCGAGTGCTCCAAGAACTTGGCCACCAAGACCCTGGCGTCCTCAAAGGCTTTGCTGTCCACTAAGGAGCGCAGCCGCTCTTTGGAAACTGTCTGTAAGGCCTCTGGCATTGACCGCGGGTCCACTTTCCAGGCGTCTGATTTCCCGGGTGAGAGCTGGTGCCGACAGGCACAGGCGGCCGTGATTGAGTGAGACAGGGTCGCTGAAAATTGGGGGAAAGACACAATCTGAGAACAACAGAAGGCAGCCGTCCAGGAATTCCTTGAAAAGCAAACACAGGGATGCTTTGGACAAATGCTCTGCCCAGATTCCTGTGTCCCAGCCTGGCCCTCACTTCCTATGTCTCTGTCCCTGGCCCTTCACACCGCTGAGTTCAGCCTGCGTTAACCTAGAGGGGCTGCAGCTTCCTGGAGCTGAAGGCCTGGGGATGGGAGGGTGGGATTCAAAGCTGGCTGGTGAGATAGGGGCCGGTCAGGGGTCTCAGTTCTCTGCTGAATTCACAAGCATTGTGTGTGTTGGGGGGGTGGGGTGTGGTGCCCCTTCTCAGCCTTCCCCAGCTCCATGACCTTTGCCCTTGAGGGCTGGACGGCATCTGGACACACGTCTGCCTGGAGAGCAGAGCTGGGGGTGGCAGAGGGCAGTGAGAGTCCCGCCCCCATGTCAAGGACAGACAGCAGCCACTCCTCTCGAGGCAGCCAGCCCAGGGCCCAGGGCCCCAGGCCAAGGGCTGGGAAATGACACCAGCTCCCAGCAGGGTTGCAGCCTCTCTGGATGACCCACAGAAAGAACGCCATCAAGGAAACCCAGCTCCAGGCGGTCAGCTGTGATGAGTTGCCAAGGACCAGCGTAAGGCCTGGCCAGCCCCATCTGTGTTGCAAGTCACACAAGGGAACACATTCTGGGTGGTCTGGTGTGTGTTCTGTGGCAGCGAGCAATCCTGGTAATGAAGCATGAGAAACTGTACAAGACTCACACATGGAGTCTCCCCTCCAAATAGAAGCTCATAAATACATTAAAACCAATGATAAATCAGGTAGAGTGGGGAACGGTGGAGGGCAGCCCATCTTCCAAACCCACAGGGCTGGGGCTTCTACATGCCTGGACCACTCTGGGAGGGGCTGGTTGGGTTTAGACACAAGGCAGCTGAGGACCACTGGTACTCCCGCCCCCTGCACAGAAGTTATCAAAGGGTTTCAGAAAAGCGGTGTCTCACCAGTCCCCAGTGCTGCCCGAGACAGTCCTGCTTCGAGGTCCTGGCTGCAGGATGGGGTGTGTGAAGAGGCGTCACCTTAACCAGAAAGAGAGTTCAGTTAACACACAGCCCAGAGGAAAGGAATTCCCGATAATACTGTAGTGACCCTCCTGTGTCTAAGACAGACATCAGAGGCAAGGCCAGCAGTGGAGACCCCTGAACATAAACCCGGGGCAGGTGGTCCTCGGGCCCATCACTTCCTCAGCACAGCCTCAGCAAAGGGCAGCCAGCCAGCACCACTGACAAGCCCAGAGCCCTTCATCCCAATCCCCATCCACACCTGGGGGTCCAGGCGCCTGGGAGGCACGTGCTTTTGAACAAAACAGTAACTGTCAGAGGTGACAGCATGGACAGGCAAACACAGGAGTGACAGCTTGTAAGCAAGCCATCGCTGCTCTTCAGATCCATCCCTCACATGTCAGGGTCTGCAGAGCACGAGCTTCACTGGAGGGGTGGGGAGCGGGGACCCCAGTCGGGTGGTGGTAGCCCTAAGGGGCTTAGAAACATCTGAGCCAGGAGCGCATGAGCAGCCGGTGCATCCTCAGGAGAAGGTTCTGGGGGAGGCAGTGGGTGTAAGCTGGTGGGGGGGTGGTGCAGGAGGGAGGAGAGGGGTGCTCACCAGGAGCGGCAGAGGCACAGCCTGTACTTTCCAGTGGGGCACCTCAGGCAGTGGCCTGGGTAGACACTGGCTCCATGCAGGGATGGAGTTCTCCTGGGGGCAGGATGGGAGCTAATCCACCTGGTGTTCAGCTGGACAAGACCATTGATCGGTCCAGGCACCACTGGCTTCCTCTGACTTCTTTCACTGTGTGGACAAGTCCCCACAGTGATGGCACTTGTGGTCAAGGGCTCCCCAACTTTTAGTGGCACAGACCCAGGAGGAGGTGGGGGGTCCTCCAACTTTAGGATATATGAGACCCCCCAGGGAGTGCTGTTGGGCTGCAAGGTGCAGGACCCTGGGGCCAGGTCCCCCGTCCTGGGGGTGCCTAATGTCACGTGGACAATGCTGACCCAACCCAGGGTGCCCATGATGTGTCTGCTGGGGGTGGCATCAGCTGGCGACAACCCCGTCCAGGATTGTCACTGAGATGCAGCCATGTCTTACGTGGCCCCTTGTCCCACCAGACCCCTCAGCAGACACAGGCACTTCCCACAAGTGTATGACCCAGGCTGGTCCTGGAGGGGAGTCACCCAGACTGACTGATGGATACAGACTGTGGGCTCTGCCTGACCTGAGACCTTCATGGGCCCCAGAATTGGTGGGAAGCCTGTAGGCTAACACCTACAGGTCCGA